CTTGTCTTCTCTTACACATTTTCCAGTCTAGTTAACCTTTTAATTTTATATATATGAATGTTCTTAACAAGTATATTATGTGATCAGATTGTTCGTAATGTATAGCGTTGATATATCACATAGTTCTGATAATCTTCGTCATCTTATTACATTATCGAAATTTATCAAAGGGATTAATTGGTTTACCCTTATTTTCCATTTTTTTTCAAGTTAATAAATCATGTACAATATTTGCAAACCTACGAATATATATAAGATTAAATATACCTCAGAGAATCTCCAACCTCACAGTTATGTTGTAGTTGATTATCTTCCAGACAATTCTTAAGGTTTCATTTATCAGTCGTCCTGATAACCGTTATATAATAAATTTCTGAAAGCAATTCAACACGTCGATTACAGTTTATTATTGAACAGCGCAAGTCATTGATCCACAAGAACACAAAGCGAATTCGAGCAGAAATGCTAATATGGACGAGTGAACAAACAAATACACACGAATTAGGGGGCGTTTTGAGCAACTGTTATTTAAGCTAGTAAGAGGAATTGTATGTAGGCTCTAACACGCGATCAAGCAAACAGATATAAAAACAATAATACAAAGGTATACAAATTGTTACTGTTCGAATGATACTATCTGTCGATAAGTTAATTGAAGGGCTTGACAAAATTAAATGTAAACAGACATAAGTGTTGATATGGTACTGTAATGTAATAAACATACAAATGAAACATTTCTAATTGCTTAATGGAAAGTAATGATAGAGGTAGTCTTGACGACTAAAGATACAAAAATGCATTTTGTAAATACGTCCAATGTTGCCCATTGATCATCTTAGTGGGTTCACTAACATCGACACCACTAGGTGCTGGCTCATTGGTCTACATCCTAAGCTCTTGCCACGAAACCTGAAGATCGTGGGTTCGAACCTTGAAAGGACCGTTTAGGCCTACTTTCAATGTGTCCCATACTAGGATGAAACAACCGTTATCTGTTAAATATTATTAAGCAATTTTATTTCTATCATTGTTGTTCTATTAAAATTATACGTGACTGTTCCTTAAAATAATTCAATCTATATTTCTGGAAGTGAATGTAAAAACATGAGTGAATCAATAATCATGTGAATTCTTACAAAGTTCTGTTCTATTTTTATTGTATAATTCGGCATTAACACATCGATGTTTACCATGAATATGAATAAACAAATACCATTAGATAACCTTCTGAAATATATGAGTTTCTAATACTAACTAGTCTGTTTTAATAGAATCGAGGAGAATTTAGAATGATCTCAAATTGATAAAAATGATACATAACGAATCCAGTTCAGTTCATACGATATATTTGTTATATAAATACTTGTATGAAATCACTTAAACTATAGTTGATCATTTGAAATTTGAAATTGAATACAATAAACAAATTATATTTCATTGTTCAATAAAGTTTATATTTTAAAGAATATGAGGAAACATTCATTGCCCATTTACGAAATTGAGACAAAAACCCATGAAATCTTTTAAGTTTTATATTTATCATTCGTTACGTCATTCATTTAAAAGAGGTTTGTGTTGATTCATATTGTCCTAAGCAAGAACTACTATTTTGTATTAATTACCATGAAATGGTATAAAACAATTCGAAGGAAATCACTTCAGTATAAAAGTTGTGGAGATTATCATGTTTTTGATTGAGATCATAAACCGATTGATGTTAGACCACTATTGAAAACGTGGAAGCACTGGACGGGCGTTTTGTCCTGTCGTGGGACTCCTCTCCATGTGCTCACTAGTGGAGTTAATTCGTGCCGGGTAGAGACAGGTATCTACATCAGTACAGCTGGAGATGGTTGCGCAATTTCGTGGATTTGTTGAGGTTAGACATTAACACCATTGGATGCCGGCCGGCTCAGTGGTCTAGTAGGTTAAGTGTTCGCTCATGAGGCTCAAGGCCATGGGTTCGAATCCCGCGAGCGGGATTACGGGTGCGCACTGCTGCAAAGTCCCACAATAGAACAAAACGGCCGTCCAGTGCTTCCAGGTTTTCACTGGGGGTCTAACATCAGTCAGTTTATGATCCCAATCGAAAATCACTTCAATCAATTGTTGAAAATTGGTCATGTCAATTAAAGCTTAATTCCTTACTTACAATTCATGTCTAATATGTGAAAAGTAATTAATATCTCTGACACTTGGTAAATTCCTATAGACGGTACGCAGAATAAACTATTCTCTAACTTAATTTTTTGATAGAAATGCTAAACATCAGATTTTAATGTAGATGTTAACGACTTGCATTACGAGTAATTTTCATCATAATATACATAATAATAATAATTCAAATCAGATCTTATTCTTCTTTACCTACAACAAACATTCAAACCACGGGGTTGAGACGGAGAAGTCATCTAACACACTAGTTTTAATAACAAGACCTGATATCTATGGTAACTGTCGCATTTCTAGATTTACACTATCGGTGTTTGAAGATTTCAAAATAATCATTTTATCTGTTCAAGTTTTCGCTTAGTCTTGTTTATTCTAGTGTGATCTGCTCTTTAGAAATCAGTGTTTTTCACCAAGTATGTAAATAAAAGTTAATAGACTATGGTCTGTCGTAATTATGACGCAATAATAAATAGTTTATCCAATCTATGATTGATTGATTTAACCAAAATGATTAAAATTATAATTATAATTAAGCAATTTGATCGAGTTATATTCCAATTATTTCGAGATGGATACTCAGTTACAAAAAACCAGTTTGATTTTGCTATAAAAACAGAAAATTTATTTATTTATTTGAACACATAAATATTGGTACAAACGGACACCGAATACATATGCGCCATACAAGTCACTTGATTTTTGTGTGGATTGTGATACTGCCCGGCTGCCCAAACCAAAGCGGGTGGTTTTCTTAGGGGGCCACACCCGGCACCTTCGACCTAAAGTAATGATACACAAGGTAGTGGAGCAACGTAAGGAGATGCGATCCCATCGTAGCCGGTGGCCAATAACTGGTTCATACGCCTTTTGTTCCCTTTGGATTTTGGAACCCATATGCACTATTGGTTTTCCAACTATCTTGGGTGGATCCTCTGTATTCACCAACCCGGTTAAATCGCCGGAAATTCGCTTTTCATCCTCTCAATTTCGTGAACAACACCCCCGCCACGAGAAGGCGGAGATTGAATCTTTTTACCCACATTATGTATTCAAATGTCTATGAACTTTTACTGCATAGCTATTCAAATAATTTAGATCTAAATGATATATATATATATATATATATATATATATATATATATATAGTAATTTTCAACCAACCATACCTAATACTAATTGCTTTTATTGATATCTTGGCTATATAAATCGACGGAATTTTTAAACAACTGCTTGAAAAGTTTTATCTGAGTTGCACAGAATATAAGGAAAACAATTTAAAAACACCATTCAAACTTTTATTCCTATTTGACGGTTTTGATTAGTAATGATGCTTGGAAGTTGACTTGAACATCTCAAGGTTTTAACAAGAATTTATAATGTTGTATTATTATTATTATTATTATTATTAATAGCTTTATTCAATATTATATTATTGGTACAATATAGAATTCTCAGCACAAAGTATTTCAACAAGTTTCCGTTTCTTTCTTCTTGGTCGGTCCTCGCGATAAATACTGAGTGGTCGCCAGCTAGATGTTATCAGTCCAGTAAATGAACATGGGAATGATGTACATTCTTTTCGTTGTACATTGCCAGCAACCATATTCTCTCTTTTTGAGCTTTTTGTAACTTTAATAACGAAAGGTTGTACATTTTTCAGAAACGCAGCAGTATAGGTTGTGCGATTAATAGACATAATGATATATTAAAACAAATTTGATAGATAACTTGTTGAAATATCTAGATGGCAGGAACAGGTAGCCCAGATGCTCAAGCAGGCCGCCGAAAGTTGTTATGTACATCTCTTTTTAATGATCTGATAATTCAAATACATATTAGGTATTTGTTCAAAACACTATAACAATCTGTTGTGTGATTCCCTGTCATATTCTGATACTGAAATGTAGGCTTCCTATACATGAGCCCAAACGGCTACACAAGCGAGAAGACAGTTTTGATTAGTTAAACAAATCGGAGATCTATAAAAGTTAATTCATACATTTACTTTCATTCGATAGAAAATTAGCCCATCTATAGAGTATGTTTTACCCCTTAGAAATCTGAGTCGGCACAATGCATCACCTTTCCTGCCTGAAAATAGGTTTGACATTTCAGATTCTGCTTTAAAATTTAAGGTTGTGGTATATCAAAAACTTCTTTTTATAGTTACTGATGAGGCTTACTGGTGTTACTCATCATTTACATTAATCAGAGAGATTTCACACATACCATAATTTTAGTAAATAATTTTATACATCTGATCTATTGGATTAATAAAAGCAGGATACAGTTCAAAAACTAATCACTTACTTTAAACTGCTTCCTTTGATTTATCTAGAAAGTGTGAAAATATGACGATTTACTAAATCTTACGTCGTTCTCGCCCTACTACTTACGATCATAAACGAAGAATCATTACAATTCCTGCGAGGCGAAGCAAAAACACAAAAAACTGATACAACTGAAGAGTTATTTACCCCTAAAACAAGATGACCCTTGTTCAAAGTACACATCCGATCATATCACTAAATGAAATAAATGCATTGTTGGATTACAGATCTTTTCATTGGCTTCATAGTTTACGACAAGTTATTCTTGTTATCAGCACATTTTTGAATAACTCTGAATGATTTCTATATAGATGTAGCTAACCAAGACAAGAAGGAAATACTACAATATAAACAATGAAATACTGTTTCATCACATCGATAACCACTGGTTTCAGTTGAAATTTAATAGGATCCTGAACTAATCTTTTCATACTATCTCTTTTATATATGTATATATTCACTGAATGAATTGATTATTTGATTTATTTTATAATTCAGGGTGATGGATGCAAAGATTGCTGTCAACTATGTTTCTGTAATGGTTGTGTAGCATGTCAAATGCATTATGAAGCACAACAAATTGGAATTATAGAAAAGAAAACCTGTTCAGATGCATGTAATCAATGTTGTGTATGTTATAGATAAACAGAATGAGATAAAGAACAATTTGTAAACTTCAAACTACTTTCACTATCAAATCATGTATAATTAAGTATATTCAAATGAATTTTAATTATGTACTAAATAAATACTCTATCACATTTTACAAATATTAGTTGTTAAAGGTGAATTTCATAGCTATAATGTCTCCCACATTGTACGAGTATTCCATGTATCCAAATAAATGGTTGCTCTGGTTATCAGAAGGGCATTGGTTTCGTAACTTCCGAAGGAACTCGGCTTTCATCATGAGGCGTCATGACTTTTCTAAATGAAAACCTTCTGACTCCCAGGGCAGAGTTTAAAAGGTTTGAATAATTTCTTCTGGTTAGCGTTTTTTTAGCGAGTTAGTTTTCTTCGGGATGGGATCGCTAACTCCATGCCCAGCCCTCCTCCTTTACCTGAGCTTGGGACCGGCAGTAGCCTCCGGAGGGACTCCAGGGAGTTACAGCTATAATGTATTATTTGTTAATAAGTATACATACATTTATATTTGTTTTATAAAGTTTATAGTAAACATAAATTGTTCAAAAAGCTTTCTTATTATCCATTACAAAAAATATCTGGAAGAGATAATAAAAAAACAAATAAACAATCTACAAGATACTTAAATTCACTTGGTATTATTTACTTGGATCTTCCCATTGATGTTTAGGACTGTAATTGATCAATCTCTTATTGGCATATGTGCATACTGTGCTTATTACCTCAATATTGCCTTAATTCACAAACATTATAAGCAAAGATAATAAGTTATTTATTTCTATCTACTGAACATTAAAAGTGTCCAACTGATATATTGTCTTATCGAATAATTAGTTATTTGTAATAAATTTGTTTGAGTTGTTCTAGTCTAACATTGGTCAGTTCATGATTTCCGTGAAACTCAACAATTTCCACAACCCTATATTTACAAGCGGATTTCAATCAGGGTTATATTAGTAAAATGTGAACATAAGATTCGAAGCATTTAGCCTAAATACGTTGCCTTTTTAATATATTCTCGACAACTGACTGAGAGTTGCCTGAAATCTTTTTGAACTAACTTCATACTAATTAATCGGCCTAGAGTAGTTTGATTACCCTCGTATTATAAAGCTTAAGAAAACAGTTGGCGTTCGTTTATTTGATAAAACACCGACCTTTGAACAACATCTCAATCTCCTACAGTTTGACTAGTAAAATAAACCAAAATTTGAAGTTATATTTCAGTTCGTTCACTATCAGTCGCTGAAAGAATTAGATCGAGAATGAATGAAAAGTTTTAGAAATCGATAAATAACAGAAATGTGGTGTAATATTTTTTCAAGAAATGAGTTTTATCATAAGCCGATATCAACTTAAGAGACATAGGAAACCATAGAGCATTAAGTAGCCATCTCATCCTAGATTAAAAAGAAAGCAATCCTTAAACAGCACAAAACTTTTCACAAGACCGCTATAGTTTTGTTGTACTTGTAAGATTTATTTTGTAGAATTTCAAAAAAAAAAACACTAAGGTGAAATGTTATTACTTACGATTAAAGCATAACATAATAGTTAGTCCTCTTCCCATAAATAGTAATTGGACATTCACAGATCAAACTTAACAATCTCAATATCCAATCAATAAGGAGAATAGATTTGAAGGATAAATTGCACAAACTCAGTTATAAAAAATATTCAATTCATATGACGAGATCAAAATATGATAATAGAGTAGGTTATTATTTCTGCATTGATTCGTTCGTTCAATGCGATATTATTTCAGGTTAGTATTCTTGTATCGATTCAGTGTGAATTTCAGTCAGTACGACAGACGTGACAATTGTATCCTTTATATTAATCTAATGTGAACTTTATACGTGTGTCTTAAAGTAGCTATGTGCATTTTCCCCCCTATATATGATATTTATTAACTGATCATCAAGTGTGTAAATCACTATGTCGATGATTGTACTTAAGTTTAATGAGGACATGTTTTCAGCAGTCAATAAATTTTCACCTGGATCAGCCTTCTGTGTTCTTGCACTGTGTAATTCAAATAATTACACTGGTTCTCTATCATCAAGTATAAACAGTAGGACGGCAGATACAACACTCTTTCACACGTTAATACAAAGAAAATCTTCATTATGATTAGAAAAATAATTATACTCTCTATTTTGTTTGTTCATTTTTACTAACATGTATAAATAATTTCAATGGTTAAGATCATGAGTCAGTTGAAGCTAGACCACCGTGGAAAACCTGGAAGCACTGGACGTCCGTTTCGTCTTATTGTGGGACTCCTCAGCAGTGCTCATCCACGACCTCGCCCCCTGCGAGATTGAAGATCTAAACTAACGATAATAATAACTGATAATAGTCATCTGCTCACTAGTGAATGACTTTAAGAGACATTTTCTTGGAGTTCTAGTGAGAAGCAGTGATCAGTGGAGTTCAACTAGGCCAGTTGTGTAATAGTAACTCACTGAAGACAATGGTGGATGTGTCGCTCAATTTCGTGGATTAGTTGAAGTTAGACATTAACGCCGTTGGATGCCGGCTCAGTTTCGCGCACGAAGCCAGTAGGTCCTGGGTTCGAATCTCGCAGGGGGCGAGGTCGTGGATGAGCACTGCTGAGGAGTCCCACAATGAGACGAAACGGCCGTCCAGTGCTTCCAGGTTTTCCATAGTGTTCTAGCTTCAACTGACTCATGATCTTAACCATTGAAATTATTATAATATCCACAAAACCCATCTGATGTATAAATAACTTCGAATTTAATTATTTACACTAGTATTCATACTTCTCAGAACTATTACATAACATAAATGCTGGATGAAATTGATGACATGAATGAAATAACACAATATTGATTATCATGTGAATTAATTATAACTAATAAATTTATAGATTATTGAACAGATGACAAATTGATGACTTTATCATGAGTAATCTGATCATTTTTGGTGTGCAAAAAAAGAAAATAATAACGTTGACAAACTCATATGACATGAATACAACTATGAATAAATATTCGATCACCTTATAATGTGGATTATGACAGAAATAAATTCATTTACTTACATCATAAGATTATATCAGGTAACAGAGTAGTGGTTCATGTTTCACATAAAATGGTGTATTGTATATTGCATAATAAAAACAAGAGGTATCTTTTAAAAGAAAGCTGTGGTAAAATTATTAAGAATAGTGTTGACTGTTAAATGTAAAGATAATATAAACTATTGAATCATAATTAGGCTAAGTAAAATAGTCTAAAATATTAGCTATTTTTTCACTAGGTGATTTCAGAGACCTTATCAGTAATTTAATTGCCTTTAAAGTAGTATATGTTGATAGTAACTAATATAAATATTGATAAACCAATTTAAAAAAAACTATTAACTATTCCCAATTAAAAGAAGGGGTTTTGTGAAGATTTTAGAAATTTCACTGATTGAAATCATGAGTCAATTGAAGCTAGACCACCATGGAAAACCTGGAACCACTGGACGGCCGTTTCGTCCTAATATGGGACTCCTCAGAACTGCGCATCCACGGTCCTGCGAGACTCGAACCGAGGATCTGCCAGTCCCGCGCCAGACGCTTAGCCAACTAGACCACTGAGCCGGTATCCAATGGTGTTAATGTCTAACTTCAACCAACCCACAAAGTTGCGCCACCGTACACCATTGTTTCCAGTGAGTTGATATCTCACAACAGGCTTGGTTGAATACCACTGGTAATGGCTTCTCACTAGAACTCCAGCAGTATCTCTTTAAGTCAGTCACTAGTGAGCAGATGATTATTATCAGAAGAGGTTTTGTGGCGATTTTAGAAATTTCACTGATTGAAATCATGAGTCAATTGAAGCTAGTCCAATTACTTAAGAGGGAAATATAGAATAGTATGATGAAGAATAAATCATTAAATGTCTGTCATTCAAAGCATCAAATATAAAATTCAATCTGTAGAATACTGATTGAAATCACTTTATAGTCTATATTTTCTTTCAACTACATGTAACGTTGATTTATGTCACAAGAGAATGATATTTTGTTACAGTAAACTACAGACGTTAAATCCAAACAGTAACAACAGAATATTTAAAATTCATAATAAGCCAACAACTATCGTTATTCAGAAATTCAGGTAAAATAGAATTAATTTGTGCTTGTTGACAAATACTTTTTAAATTCACTTGGTGTCGTTTTACTTGTATCTTCCCATTATTATTTAGGACTACAACTGAACAGTCTCATGTTGGCATATGTGCATCCTGTGCGGATTACCTCGATATAGCCTTAAGTCACAAGCTTTTTAAGCAAAGATGGGATGCAGGTACATCCAGATGACGAGTCCAAAATAAGACAAAACGCGCGTCCTGGATTCTACTGCTAGCCACTATCCATCTTTGCTTAAAAATACTTATCATATTGTTCTATGTAAACCAAATTCATCATACGAGATGCTCAACTTACTTTCCTTTCAAATACATTAGGTAACTAGATTATTAAATGTGTTACTCAACAGTATTGTTGACTGATAGTTTTTGAATAAATGTCATGATAATAATGGATATTAGTATGAATTAGATAATCAGTATGCATGAATAGATGAATCTACTTTGTGATTTCAATAATAAAATGATGCAAGCATAAAACGCATATATATATATATATATATATATATATATATATATATATAGGCCATTTTTATAGAAGAAAATCCATATTAAGAAGAACTACTTATGAGTATGACTATGGTAACCAATGGTTAGAGAATCTATGTGACATGGCTCAGAATCGATCACATTGGTGTAGGTGTATACACTCTTTGAGATTAAAATTGTTTTATATCTTTCTTTCTACAAACTAATTCTTCCTGTATTATGTCCTTACATGCAATCTTTCTTTTATATATTACCACCACTGACTTAACTACTTCTATGAATCCGGTGTTCATCTTGTTGAGCTAATGAAGTATGGTAACTTGGACCGATTCATATATATGTCTG